GATATGGACTTATATCCAGAATGCATGAAGAACTTCTATGAAAGAAGACAGATGAAAAAGACCCAGTAGAGAAATAGGCAAAAATTTTTAATAGACAGTCACAAAAGAGTATCTCCAAATGGCCATGAAAAGATTATCAATTCATTAGTCATCAAGTGGCTGAAAATTGAAACCACTTTGACACCTCAACAAATCCACCAGAATGGATAAAATTAAGAAGACCGACAATCCCAAGTATTGGCAAGTATAAGGCATAACTGTAACTTTTAATCATTACATATATCCACCATCTCTGAATCTGAGAGCTGGTTACACAAATGTGTTCCCTTGATTAAAAAAAAATCACTAAGCTATACACTTTTAATATGTATATTCTACTATTAATAAATGTATGTTACACATAAATAAAATGTTTACTTTAAGAAAATCACGGGTCAGGACAGCTTGAAATTTCACATATCAAAGACTGCATTTACTGAAGATAGGTCTTCCATAAACACATGTCCTCTACCTGCAATCTCTGCATTGTCTGAGAATATGACCGAGGAGGCGGGGTAAGAATTTGATAGTCAGGAGGGTTTTTTTCCCCAAAAAACTTTCCAGGAGGGCAAAACCACAAATGAGGTGCAGTTCATATGAGTTGCTTGGAAATTATCAGGCAGTATATGTTGGCAAAACTGGAAGAGATTCTCTGACTGCATTTCTGAAGGCTCCAAAGAGCCTGGATAAACAGCACCAGATATGCAAAAGTTGCTAACTTTCATTGTCATAATTTTGAAAATTTAGTTATGGCAGGGGGAGGAAAAAACCTTGCTTGCTTTCTCATGACTTGACCTCCTGAAGCTGTTTGTCATAATAATTGGGAACTATAGTGACCTAATGACCAGATCAATGACTTCAGGTTCAACTTTACCTCAGTCAACACCCAATCCTAGGGAAAAGGTGAGAAGAAGGATGTCTCAATAGAGGCCAGTGAAAAGCAGAGAAGACATTGACACAAGGTGTCTTCCCTATTCTGCAGCCATATAGATGAATAACCTTTTCTTTCTTCTTGGGAAGAAGGAAAAAAAATGGTGACTACTTAAGAGAGGAATATAGATTTGAAAGGGAATTTGAATGCAAAGAAGCTATTTTAAATCATTACTGAGTTATCTCTGATTGGAAAGTTTAAATAGTCCCCCTCCGAATTCCCACATTCCAACATTGGTAGAAAAGGGGCTAAAGCTCAATGAGTTCTGCTATAAAAATAAATTTTGTCTGCTTCTTCCATCATGTTTTATATAAATGAGCCTGTACCAGTGTAGGGCGACATCTCTAAGTGTCACTGTCCCAGGCAGAAGCAGCACTCTCAAGCCTGGAGGAAAAAATGAATTAGGCTCTCGAGGGACTTTTTCAAATGGCACTTTCTTCCCCTTGTAATCCAACTCCATCCCATTATGTTAAGAGCATATTGTAGATCTGGAAGCATGAAAATATGTTGAAAATTAGGGAGGTCAAAAATAAGTGGAAAACAGAAGTGATCACTTGCCATCGAAAGATAAAAACAAAACCAGATGATCTGTTTAGTGTAGCTGCTGGTCTAACAAATTCTGTGACAATAGACAGAATAACATGAAGGTCCATGGAAGACAAGATCTGTGGAGAAGACATAGCAAATGCAGAAGATAAAGCTCTTAGGACTTGCAGAATGTCCTTCATTTCATACATTCATGAAATTGGCCAATGAATGTGTTGGCAACATCTTGAAGGCATTTCTGTACATAGGATGCTGGGTTGAAGTGTTTAAATTCATAAATGGTGTCAATTTGAATGTATTTCAAATCTTTCCCCTCAATCTGGTAATGACCCTCGTGTTTAATACGATCTTAACTACATCAGTGATCATAAAAGATGAGGAAATTAACTGAGAGATCCAAACTTTTGAAAGCCTTTAATTAAGCCCTGGCCCCAATATCTAAGGACATTTATTTAGATGCTTTCTATGTGTTTATTCCTCCATTGTGCTTCTTCTCAGAGGAGGATCCTATGAACTCTCAACACACACACACTCTCTCTCCTTCTCTCTCTCTTTCTTTCCCTAGAGTGGAGACTAGATAGGTCTAGACATATGTGCTAGAGAGAACTATTTTGATCCTTTTTTTCTACACCTTAAATTTAGGTTTCCAAACGTCTGTTCAACAGGGATGTAAAGTGGTTATTAAGTACCAGTTTTGCTCCTTACACCTTCAAGTTAACAAAATTGAGCTGATTTGTAACAACTTAAATGCACACATTTTTTTGGAGGGGGGGTGACAATACAATATCTTCTCAAGCTATAACAGGTGATCATTCAAGACAGCATTGAATTCTTCTGCTTGAGCTATGCTGGCTAATAGGAATTTAAGTGAGAACCGGTGGGAAAGCACTGAAGCATTCATGCATGTGAAATCAGATGAACACCCACAATGTGGAATTTCCTAAGGAAAGTTAGTCTAGCGGAGAAACACAGACCAGGTTGAGTGCCAGTAACTTTTAAACTAGCATGTGGAGCTATCATCCTAATAAACAATAAGGTAAAGGTGTCTGAAAAAAAGCAAGATCTATATTTTCAAATACATTAAAAAATATCAGCTCAGACAGTAATATACAATTCCCTTCCTCTGAAGAAAGGAATTTAACCTTTTTAAATTTTGATTCTATATATTAATGCTTACTTTTGAAAGACATATGTACAACTTATTTAAGTAAATCTAAAATAAACAGCAAGATGGAACAACTAAGTCATCTATGAAAAGGAATTGAAATCAGGAGCTAATTTCTATTCAGCAATTATAATACTAGTCTTCCTGAAACATTTCCCTTTAAATGGTCTTACTTAAAACCACATCAATTTTCCACTTGTCATGCAATTCTAGATTGCAGTGTGACTTTAGCTTCAGTTCCTACTCATGAAGGTTAAAGAGACACATTGTAACACTAAATCTTGTGTCAAATCAGCTCAATTACCTTTCGAAGTTGCCCAAATTGTGAAAGATTAGTGGTTCAAATATATGAATTCTGTACATTTCAGAGTAGACATACATAGTTGTGCATAGATCTATATCATATCATGAAATATGTAAATAAATTTACCCCTGAAGATTTTCAAAAATGTTGAGATAAAGCCGAATCTTTACTCTCAGGTTATTTTATAATAATTTTCCCCAACATGTGGCGAATTTGGAATGATGTTATTATGTGATAGCCATCGGATACTCAGTTTTCTCATTTACAAAATGGAGTTAATGATAATATTAATAATACCTGACTCATTTGGTTGTTAAGAAGAGTAATAGAAGAAGGTTGCCCAATAATAGTAAAAGCTCAATAAATATTAACTGTTATTCTATCATTATCATTGTTTTTATTATTGCTGTTATTATTCCTCAGCAATTTTTTAAAATTAGACAATTAAAAAAATGCTCCTTCTATTGGACAGATGGCTCATGCTCATTCATCGTGTATGTTTTGATATTTAGCCAGAGCTGCAATAAATTAGTGTCTATTTTGGTGCTCTTTAAGCTAGACTGCTATAATATTTTATTTTATAACATCTTTGAAAAAATTCAGCAAGGCTCTTCATGAGTGCAAAATGTTACAACTTGAATGTTACTTTCCAAGATGACTCAATATATTCTATACCAGTTGAGAGACAAGATTCTGGGCTCCCTGATGTAAAAGGATTTAAAAACCCTTGAGCATATGGTGTTGGTATTACTTTTGTTACCATGTCTTACCATTGTTGGAGTACCTATTCATCTATTTTGAACTGATGTGTCACATAAAATGAAAAAAAAGTAACAATTTGCAGCCACATTCTATGCATAGGGATTTAGCTTTAGTCATTACGTATCTCAATTACAAAATGTTCTCCTGCAGAAAGGAATAACTATGGGTTTATGCCTGGAGATCATTTTAAGGTTCTGTATCTCATGATTCATGTTCATTTGTTGTTTTAAGTTGTAATCAATTTACAAGGTGCTGGTTTCACTGTTCAGAAGATGAACTAATCTTGGAAGTTCAACAATTTCATGAGCTTAGGATAGTTTCTGTTATAATATTGTTAATATGTTAAACTTAATCATAAGAGGCTAACCAAAAGTACTTATCAATACAAAATAAGTTTTCATACATTTATTTCAAACTAGTGGCTTACTAAATAAAAATGGCAAACACTTCCCTGATGTTTCAAAAACAGAGAGACCCTTACTTATGCTTATAAATATTTTTGAGGGGTAAGAAATAGGAAATGCAAATTTTAAACAAAATGATAGCTATTTTTCATTGCTCATGCTGAGCCACCTTTGAAAGGCAAGCCCTTGTGGAAAGATATGCATTCATTCATTCACTCATTCATTCATACATCAAGCATTCCGTACAAGGCATGATGTTAGGATACAAAGATGATGACAGGGTGTGTGTCTTAGAGAGAGGAACCCAGTTTGTCTCTCTTCCTAAAACCTTCCTCTGCGACACTCAATGTCTTAAATCCACAGTAATATCATGAGTTAAGGAGACAACAGCCCATATTGCAAATGACAAACGAAATCTGAATTCTGGAATTGTCATTTCTCACTGGACCAGAAGTAGATGTCCTCAAATTATACCTTTTATTAGGAAAATACAAGTTAGGATAAAGCAAAACAAAAACAAACAAACAAAAATCTATTGTTCAGAAACCAAGTGGAATCTTAGCCTTTCCTTTCTCATCACAGTTGGGATGGGATAGGGCGAGCCCGTGTTGCGGACAGGGGACCACTCTGGAACGCCCGGTCTCCTAACCGCCCACAGGAGATGATTTCTCGGCCACTTACTGGGACTAGCTATAAGCAATGTTCCCTATTCCTCAGGTGGGAAGGAAGAAAGGAGCTCCTGTTTTGCCAACTTACTGGAGCTCTCCCCCTGAGGTCACCTCCCTTCCTTCCTATCAAGCCACTGAACTTGAAAACGTTTTAAATGGGCAGACCTGCTTCTCCTCCTACCTAGGGAGTTGTGGCTCAGCCCAGCGGGGGCGGGCGAAGTCCGGAGGCCTCAAGGCTGCCGCATCTGCCCACGCCGGCTCCAAACGTCCCAACCCGAGGCCACACTGGTCAGTGCGCTCGCGGGCGCCCCCTTGGGAGCGTCACATTCCTCGCGGCCTGCCCCGCCCGCACGTCGCTAGGGCCACACGCCCCTCCCTGTTCTTTTCTCTGTGTTCCACCTGGTGTTCGTCTTCATAAAATCAACATTGGTTTATATTTTTCCTTTCAGATACTAAGAGCATTATGATCATTAAAATAAGTTGGAAAATGTAAGAAGATGTACATAAAATAAAACTCACCTGTATTCTAGGGAGAAGCAGTAAGAACATTTTAGTGTGTATCTTTGAAGTCTCTTTCCTGTGAATAAATGTTAAAAAAAATAAATAGATCGTGTCTCTTTTGTGCCTCTTTCAGACACAAATACATACTTATGGTATGCACTTTATAAATACACTTTATAAAGGTTTGCATATCTTTTTTAAAGGAAAATAATTTTAAAATTATTTTTACTCTAAAACATACACATGTAGAAGTTTATAAATCCTACTTATATATTTAAAAATAAACATTTTTAAAAAAGAATAACCATGTATCTTTCACACATTTTAGGCAGAACATTATCGATAATTGATACATTTGAGGAAACCTATGTACCCCTGAAGTTTGCATCTTTCTCCTGACCGCTGTTGTGACTTGCATGACAAACATCCCTTGCTTTTCTTTATAGTTGAATAGATCATATATGTATCACTTTTTATTGAAATATGCATATGTATAGAAATAGGAATAAATTGCAAGTGTGTTCAATGAATTATCACAGTGAATCCACCAGCGTAATGACCCCCCTAATAAAAATATAAAACATTCCTAGCATTAATGAAGCCCCTCTTAATCACTAACCCTTTTCTTTCCCCAAAGGTAATAACTGCCCTGGCTTCTATCACCATAGTATAGTTTTATCTGTTTTTGGATAGATAGTCTAGTCATGACTACTCTGTATTGCCATTAATATAGATATCTTTACAAAGTACATCCAAATGATTACTAAATTTCACATCTTGGGGAAAAACGGGAACAAAGTTGTCTGACTCAAGTATTCCCATCCCCACTCTCTCCTACCCTTCTGCAAAAATGAGGAAACTGCCTTTCAAGGTAAAGTGTAAGGATCAATTGGGATGAAGTGCGTGAAACATCCTCTGTGTAATAAATAGGCTTTTCAATCCCTCTCCAGTAGTGATATTCTCTGTACTAGCTCATGTTAGCCATTAGCACTAATTATATATATATATATATCTTCAGTCTGTCTCTAAACTTGTTTCCTTTAAATTTTTTGAACATAGTAACCAATTCTGCAAGTTTTGATGGTAAGTACCACACAATCAAAATCTAGAACACCTCTATCACTTCAAAAAAATAACATCATGTCACTTTGGAGTCAACCCTGCCCAACCATTCCCAGCCCCTGGCAACTACTGATGTGCTTTTTGTCCCTAAGGTGCTATTTTTTCCCAAATGTCAAATAAATGGAATTGTATAGCCTGTAGCCTTTTGCATCTGGCTTCTTTTATTCATCCCAGTACATCTGAGGTTCATGTTGCTGTGGTGTCTATCAGTACAAACAGTTCAATCCTGTTTACTGCTAGGTAATACTCTATTGTGTGTATATGCCACAGCTTATCTGTTTACCAGTTGAGTAACATTTGGGGTGATCATGCATAAAGAAAGCTTCTATAAATATTTGCATACATGTTGTGTAAATTTAAGTTTTTATTTACTTGGGTAAATACCTAGGAATCATATTGCTGGGTCATATGGTGTTTAACTGCATAAGAAACCACCAATCTGTTTTCCAAAATTTCTGTATCATTTTGGATTCTCACCATTAGTATTTGAGATTTTCACTTACTCCCATATCCTCATCAGCACTTGGTATTATCAATATTCTTTTTTAACCATTTAAAGTAATACCTCCTTTTGGTATTTACTTGTGGTTTTAATTTGCATTTCCCTAATAACTAGTGATGCTAAATATCTTTTAATGTGCTTATTTGCCATTCGTATCTTCTATGGTGAAGCATCTAGTCAAATATTTTGCTCATTTTTAAAAATGGATTATTCTATTACTGAGCTTTTTGAGTTCTTTTATTCTTCATTTAAGCCTTTTATCAGATATATGTTTTGAAAATATTTCCTTCCAGTTTGTGCTTGTCTCTTCATTCTTTTAGCAGTGCCTTTCAAAGATCAGAATTTCTTAATTTGGATGAAGTTCATTTACCTTCCTTACGGTTTGTGCTTTTGAATTTGTATCTTAGGAATCTTTTCCTAACCTAAGGTCACAAAGATTTTCTCCTAAGTTTTAATCTGGCAGGTTCACAGTTTTAGGTTTTACACTTAGGAAATGATCTTTTTGAGTTGATTTTTGTGGGGGGTGCAAATTATGAGTTAAGATTAATTTCTTTTTGCAAATGGAGGTCCAGTTGTTCCAGCATCAATCATTAAAAAGACTATCCTTTTTCCACTGAATGGCTTTTGTACCTTTGTTGAAAAATCAATGCATGGGTCTATTTCTGGACTCTCTATTCTGTTCTATTGATCTATATGTTTACTTTTGCTTCAATATCACACTGTCCTGGTTACTGTAGCATTATAAAGCCCTAACTTCAGATGGGGTATATCCTTCAGCTTTGCTCTTTCTCAAAACTATTTTGTATATTCCATTTTCTTTGCTTTTGATTTAAAAAAAATCTTGATGGAGTTTTAGTTGGAATTGTGTTGTAATCTATAGGTAATTTTGGGAAAACTGACATCTTAATAATTGAGTCTTGATTTCAAAATTCTAGCGTCCAGAACTATGAGAGAACATGTTTCTGTTGTTTTCTATTTCTATTGTTTTAAACCACTCAGTTTGTGGTATTTTGTTACAGCAGCCCTAGGGAACTGATACACCTTGGAACTTGTTAAAAATGCAAATTCTTGGCCTCCATCCCAGAGCTACTTGATCAGAATCTTTGTGGATGGGGCAGAGTAATTTGTGTTTTCACAAGTCTTTCATGTTATTTTAATGAACTCTGAAATTTAAGAACCGTTGAATTAGAGGATATGGCCAGCAGGATAAAAATTCTTGGAAATTGTTTGAGGTTCAATTTATGGTATAATATAGGGTTAATTTTTGTAAGCATTTCATATATGTCTAATAAATATGCATTTTGCAGTTTTTCAGTGTAGAATTCTATATATGTCCATTAAATCAAGCTTGTTAATTATATTATTCAAATCTTCTATATCTTAATAGTTCTTTGCATATATCTGTCTTGTCTCATAATCACAGAGATGCATTAAATCTTTTACTAGGATGATAGAGTTATTTATTTCTTCTTATCATTCTGCCATTTTAAATATATTTTTACACACATTCACACAAAATATAATATTATTAGGTACATGAATGTTTAGAATTGTTGTTTCTTCCTGTGACATTTATCTGGACAAGGTGAAAGTAAATTTTTGATTTCAGGTTTTCAAACCATATATGTGATATGAATTCCAGCCCCAAATCTGCCCAAATGTAGGCTTATAATTAGGCATAATCAGAAGATAATGTTCTCTTCCCCTTTTCCTCCCATTCTTCCTTCTCACCCCCCCACCTCTTCCTTCCTTTTTTCCTCCCTGTTCTTGATGAGATAGTAAATTTCTCCACTAATCTTTGTGGAAGGGCACATTTATCCTCTCGATAATTCCCTGTTTTAGGTGTTTTAGGTGATGTTTTAGGTGATGCAGAAGTCTCCTGTTTGCCTCTGATCCCTGCTAGGACCCAGGCTTTGTTTCTTGACTTAGCATCCATAGCCCAGTAGAACTCAATTTCTAGGCACAGTAGCTCGAGCCCAGGAAAATATTATACAAATCCAAGTACTCACCTACATTAGTGGATTTGTATTTGCTTCTCTTTTCTAGTTTCTGATTAATTGATTCCCTTAATTTCCTACTAGCTCAGCCCTGCATTAAATGGTATGTTTTCTATTTTATCCAGCATTTTTAGGTATGTTAGATCAGGAATGTTTTCCCTGAAAATCCACTCTGCCATATTACATAAATTGGAAATGTATTCTTCCTTCCTCACTTAACACTATGTAGGTTGAGTTTTTGCATGTCAACTAACATTCTGCTAAAAATTATTTTACTTTCTGCATTATATTATTACTATATTAGATGGATGCACCATTATTTTATTGGAGGTATGAGGTTTGGGGGATTTTTTTGCCAAATTTTCCATGTGTATTTATTCTCTTGTACAGCTTTTCATGTACATTTCTGTGTTCTTTAGGATTATTCCTATAAGTGGAATTTATAAGTCAAACAGAATTAACTTTTTAATGGTCCTGTGCTGTGCCATCAGATTACTTTCCCAAAAAGTAACACCAATTAATACTACTGTTAGTGGTGTGTGATGGTATCTCACTTTAACATCCTCAACATCAATTTTTTTCATCCCTGTTAATGTGATAGGTGAGAAATATTTTCTCATTGTTGTATCCATTTGTATTCCCTTTATTACAGGGAAGGTTGATCATACATGCTTGCTATTAATTCTTTTTTATTTCAGAATATTACAAGGATACAGATGTATTGGTTACATGGATTGCTTTTGTACAGCTTGAGTTAAAGTATAAGTATGCCCATCACCCAGGTAGTGTACACTGTACCCATTAGGTGTGATTTCACCCATTCCTTCCTCCTCCTTCCCACCTGCTTGATCTGCATTGAGTTTTATATCCCTATGTGCTCATGAGTGCTGATTGGTTAGTTCCAATGGTGTTAGTTTTTCCATTCTTATGATACTTCACTCAGGAGAATGGTCTCCAGTTCCATCCAGGTAGTTACAAAATGTATTAATTCATCATTTTTTCTTATGGCTGAGTAGTACTCCATAGTATATATATACCACATTTTACTAACCCATTCATGAATTGATGGGCACGTGGATTGATTCCACATCTTTGCAATTGTGAATTGTGCTGCTATAAACATTCTAGTGCAGATGTCTTTTTTTATAGAATGAAAAAGTTGTATATGTATAACATGGAGTTCTACTCAGCCACAAAA